ACACACATAAGTCTCAAGACTTCAAAACAACATGAACACCGTCAACAACTACGGTCTCGATCTAGTTTCCACCCCCTGTATCTCCGTATCCAGTACACAGTACCTTTAGGTTCTTGCAGCTCTTCATCAAGTACTTGACGTCGTAGATTGCGGGGAAGAACAGGTTGAGAATCTGGAAGAAGTCGTGTTCCTCCTCAGGTAGCCGTGCGTCTGTCAGGAGTTTCACCAGGTAGCCAAAGTCATAGCCGCTGAGAAGTAGAGAACACAACGGGAGGGTTCAGGTCAGGATGGACTGGATTAAAATGATGTTAGTGGGTTCAAACTATCAAGCAATCACCATGGATCAAATTTAAGCTAAAGTAAAGTGGGTGCAGTTACTAGTCTCAACTTCGTTACAGAAATTAGGTTAGGATCTCAAGTCAAATTCTTCTAATTGCATTTTTATAATTCTTTAAGATAACATTGAGGACTAAAGTGGGCTGTGTTTGCCTTGATTGACAGGTATCCATATATTCTGATTTGTTCTGGCTCCAGTAACTGATCGAGAAGACAATAACCAAACAAAAGTTTCAAAAGCCCCTTCAAAGCCTGGGGGAGAACTGAGACGCTGCATTAGATGTCGACAAAGTGGTGACGTTCAGCAGCTGTGGTGCTGACAAAGAAAATATTATTGTTACGAATCAATGAACCCTACAAAATGTCATTTTCTATGTCTGCAGTCAGCGCTCAATACAAAACCCTTAGTTTCAAAAACAATGAATGAGTCCTTATCAAACAAAAAAAGAACACAACTAGTGAGAAAGTAGCTGCCTGCTCTGATCGGCTGGATGTGGAGGTCGAGTCGGCCGACTCCTGCAGATATTTAGCATGCATAGATGGACACATTTAAAACAGATATTCCCTTAGTTGCATGGTGTGTGTTCCATTACAGATTGTTTAACAAAACCGAACAGGATGTGAGAAATGTAAGTAGCGGTGTCTCTACAAGCATAACTACATTTCTTGCTAGAAAGGGAAGAACACAAGTGAGTGAAAACCAGCAACCGACCTGTGGAAGGAGAGCCACTTGACGTTTTCACAGAGCACCAGACCGGACGTCATGAGGAGCTCAGCAAAGTAGAGCGTGTCGATTCCTTCTTCTTCGTGTTTTTTAAACTGGAGGCCGGAGTTTTGGAGCAGGTCTATGGAGTCCTGTGAGTACATGTCTTCTCTGCGGGGAGCAAAAAAACACATTAAAAAAAACCAACCTCGCAGAGTTTCAGAAAGCGCTAGAAGACAAGATGGGAGTATAAACAGTCTGCCTACGTGAGGTTGAACTTGAAGTTGAACTGCCACGTCGTTGTGCCAGGAGGATAGTCTCCATCCTCGTTCATGAACGTGAGGCCGAGCTGGATGATCTTCAGGAGGTCAACGTTACACCTCAGCAGCTGGTACTGGTAGTCCACTGTGCTGCGGAACTCGCCGATTGGCCGGACAACCACTCCAGGGAATTCTGTGTCCTGATTAAACAGAAAAGAAAACGCACTGTTATGTCTCATCGGTATGTGGTGGTCATCACATAACCACGCACTCAAGTTTCCTAATCAACTTTATGGCCTTTACCTGCCTAATCTATGTCATCTACTTTTTACAAATTAGCTGAAACACTTGCAACTTTTAAGACAAATAAAACACGGTTTACTTCAGTTTTTTTTAAATAAATTATCAGCTTGCAATTAATACAGGTAACAGAAAATAAAGAGAAAAATGGGGACAAAAAAAGCTCGCCATTTCAAGTGTTCCCACTTTAACATGAATTTTAAAAATCCATTTTTGAAGTTAACCTGTTTGCTACTCGACACGGATAATTTTCCTGTTAAAAATAAATACATACATGAATAATGAGCCCTAACAACAGGATATATTTCACAGATTGATATTCAAATGTGTCAGCATTTATCACCACTCACAGAAAACATTAAAAACACTAATGTCCTCAAGCCTTCAGAAATTAGGATAATCCGTTTTTATTCAATGTTACTCAAAAAAATGGGAACGTAATTCTTTATAGTAACTCTGCTGTCCAAGAATGCAGTAATTATTCATTTCTACAACAACTTCTCTTAAAGTCTGTTACCTACCATTGCAATGTAATTGTAGCTTTGAATAATCTGCCGGATTTTCCTCATTTCCTCCTCCACGTTGCTCGCCCAGACCTCACAGATTATCTGACTGGAATCTGTAAGTGCGGCTGGCATGTTGGCAGGTCAGGAAGAGAGCTAAATTCCCCAACAATCCAGCAGCGATCGTGAAGGGGGCGAAGGGGACGCAGTGTGATGAAGAAAGACAACTCTGGGAGAGGATGAAAATAAGGAGTTAAGAGAATGCATTTAAATCCCACTGCAACACTGGTGTCAGTATAATATCAGACAAACAAGGCTGGAGATTAATGTAAGTACCACTTTACTTTGGATCTAGTGTGAACATTTACAATAAATGCCCATTACAGCCTGGTGGAGTCTTTTTTTAAAAGTAAATATGTAACTCCTCACAGCATACATGCATTTAAATGGATGATTCATTCAAAGCTGCATTAAGCAAAATGCAGCTGGAATGACGTGGATTTTTTGTGTTTCATTGACATTAAGGTAAAGATGTGACAGTAACGAAATTCATTCTCTGCACTTAACCCATCCCTCAACTCCAGATCTGTGCCAGTGTCACAGGAAACCCACGCAGACACGGGGAGAACATGAAAACTCCACAAAGTTGGGCTGGCACAACCGGGGTTCAAACCCAGCACTTACTTGCTGTGTGCACCGTGCAGCCAATGGACTTTTTTTTACAGCTGTAAAAATACACTGTGGAGGAGATGGTGATGGGTAAAAGCCTCTTCTTGAAGACTGGAGCCCGTGCAAGTATTACCAGTACTGCAGTACCAGGTGCACTACTCTCAGGTGCCAGGATATTATTAGGTAGGTAACTTACACCACCAAGAGTTCATTAAAACTAACCAACTCTAATACAGCAGCCCTTCAAAAACACTACCTTCATGAAAGCAAACTGTTTCAGAGATGTGTTGATTTTGGAGGCTGATTTTGAGATAGCAGTGAGTGAAGTGGCATTTTCATTAACGAAAAAAAACAAACAAACCCCGGAACATTAAAGAATGAATATTTCCTTTTAAATGAACTACTTTGTGTCACCATGACATCAAGATGAACAAACCTTGTACAAGCTGCTGGTTGTTTATGATACCAGGCTAACTAACACAACTGATATCAACGTAACAACAGACACATTAAAAACGGCCCATTTTACCTCAAAGTCTTTGGGAAGACTGTGTGTTTAACAACTTTGCTTTAGTTTAAAATATTATATTAACACTAGCAAACGACGCTGCATTAGCTCTGAGTGCTTAGCATGAGCGGCTAACGTTTCCAAGCTAGCCCTCGCGCTATACCAAGAAAGCTAAAATCACCGGAACAAAGATGAAATGAAACAGCTCTGCGTTTTCACTCCTCAACCTGTCACAACTTGCTACGCACACTGCAGACATGTCCGCGTTTCACTGTAGGAAGTATAAAACTATTAAAAAACTAGGTTTACCTCTGAATTTCCACGACGTAACAAGCCAAGCTAGTTGATAGCGCCTCTGTCGCCGTCTCCTTCTTCTTCGTGTCCTCCTTCTCCTGCTTCTTCTCCTTTGTGTATATTGGAGAATGGCAACCAGACGGTAGCTGTGCACACCGCCACCTACTGGATTAAAGCGTGCAACGACGTGAAAAAAAAAGTGCTTACAAGCATTTTGGTCAAAACTGAAGCCACTGTTTCAAAATTCTTCGTTCACTCTGCATTACCAACATGCATCTTGGCCAGACAGTTAATCTCACCTCTAAAAGAATCTCAAACCACCAAAACACTCCGTACATATATAATAATAATAAACTTGTTCAACCAAACACTGGAAACAACTCTCCTTCAGAAAGCTTAGGGTAGATTGTCACTCATAACACACTAACCTAAAACAATAACAACAGGGAGCTTTATACATAGATAATGAACTTTTATCTTTGCAGTGTGATTGATTTTCACATTAATCAGCTTTTTATTATAGCATAAGAACAACATATTTTCACTTTATTGACTAAAATGTATGTAACAAAATAAATCAGAAATGCAGAAACGTGCTTCAACATTCTTCACAGTATTTTATTCTATATCATTGTATATTGTATTTTTTATATATTTTTTCAATTGCTAACACACATTGGTCAAAAGCCATGTTTTCAAAACTCTTCATCCAGTCTGCATTACCAACATGCATATTGGCCAAACAGTTAATCTCACCTCCACAAGTCAAATCACCAAAACACTAAATATTGTCTCAAAAGAAACTCGTTCAACCAAACACTGGCAACAACTCTCACTCAGACAGCACAGGAATTGTCCTTTATTACACACTAACCTAAAAAACAAAAACAACAGGGGGCATTATCTCTGAAATGCATATGATTTTTTATGTAAATTTGTATTTTATTACGCAGTAAGAACAACAATTTTTTCACTTTATGACTGTACTTAAGTAATTACTAAAATTTCAGTGTTGCAATGCAGTTGTTTTGACAGTAACACTGGTACACAATGACCACAACCTGTAATTCACGTTCCAACCCCCTGAATCAAGTCCGCTAAAATACAAGCACATTTCCTGCTTTACCTTTACATTGCAGTCCTAAACGACACTTTTTCAAAACACTACGCACATTGACGTAAACATAAAATTTACTGTAAATATTCTGCTAATGTATTTCAGTCTGGTTACTGCAGAAATGCAGGACATCCTGCCATCTTTCTGTTTTCAGAATCAGCTTTTATTGCCAGCTATGTAAACCTTTTTATTATTATTATCATTATTATTTACATGTTAGAGGTAGATACACATACAAGCATGCATGTACACAGTGTGATGGAGCACAGTGCAAAGGATACTGGAATAATAAGTATTATGTGCAGGTGTTACTTGAGATAGGTGGATTTGGTACACAGTATATACACAAATTGACAATATGAACAGCTCTGAAATAGACAACAAGAGAATGATGAATAAATAATATAAGTAAATAATAATAATAAGTAAACAGGTGGCTGAACAGGCAGAGTTACTGGGTTATTGCACAGGATTTGTTCCTGACACTGAGTTAGAGATCAGCTGTTCATCAGAGTGATGGCTCGTGGGAAGAAACTGTTCCTGAGTCTGTTGATTTTGGCGTGCAGTGCTCTGTAGCGCCTACCAGAGGGGAGAAGCTGGAACAGGTTGTGTCCGGGGTGAGATGGATCTGCAGTGATGTTTCCTGACTCTGGAAATGTATAAGTCCTGAATGGAGGGCAGGTTGGCACGGATGATCTTTTCTGCAGTCCTGACTGTCCGTTGTAGTCTGCTCCTGTCCTTTTTGGTGACAGATCCAAACCAGGCAGTGATGGACGTGCAGAGGACAGACTGGATGATGGCTGTGGAGAAGTGGAAGTGGAGAAGTTTTGAATGTGTTTTTAACAGTTTTGGTTTTAATAGTTAGCATTTAAAACATGTCTTGCAAATATATAGTTTTTTGCAGTTGGTGAATTAGAAATGAGAAGAGTTCATGGATTTTGGAGAAAGAGGTCATTGAATGCATTTTGTGTGAAAGCAATGAAAAATGATTAACAGTTTTGTCCGCATACACTTGTGTGTCTCTGACTGTGTGACGAGTTTTGACAATGTGACTTCAGTTTTCACCGATGCCTGTTAGTAACTGAAAATAACTGTAATATAGGATTAATGGGGAAATGTATGTTTTAAGATTCTGACATACTGTAATTCTCCTGCCACTCAAATACATTTGAGGTGAATTTAATTTTGTTTTACTGCTCAATACATTGATGCATTGAATGTAAAAGTACTGTAGGCTACTTGACATACGTGTACTGTATTTTCACATTATATTACTTTATACTTCTACTCCACTACATGTCACGTGGGCAATACATAGGAACATACTATATGTTTTATTACACATTTGAGAGCTATAGGTGCAAATTACAAATTTACATACAAAATCAAACTATCCACATTTTTATTTTTAATAAATCTTGCAAATAATACTTGCACCGTTTCCTTTCTTTTAGTGCAAAAGACCACAAAGGTATGTCTGCATGCAACAATCAAAATCAAAAGCAGGACTTTAACCAGCCATCACTTCCAAACTGATTGTCTTTTAATACCCCATACAACTAGTCCACAAAATCTGTATTTTAAACTCACACACGCAAATCAGATTGGAACTATATGAAAGCACATTTATTTGAAAACCATCTCAAATACCTCTTATAGGAGTACAAAATATATTGCTTGAAAAAACATCACTTTACACGCCCAGACACACCGCTGATAGCAGTTCAATACAGAAAATGGATTTCAACTGAACATAACTGGCTACATTGGCCTGCCAGGCAAAGTTCTTTGTTGATTAATGAACACCTGAAGGTTTGAGTTTCATGAATACTTAATTTGATGACAATAAAGGGGGAGAAAAGGCTTACAATTGGTGACATTTATAATCTCTATATTTAATTTCTCTAACAGGGCACTGGCATTTTACAAGAGTGGGGAATAAATAGAAAACAGACCTGTCTGTTCGTCAGATCAGGGATTGGGAAAGATGAAGGATTGCATTTTATTTACTTGATTAGAAAAGCAGTGCAAAAGAGGATTTCTTTCAAGTTCCCAGATCTTTTAGGGGATGGAGGTTAATGAAGGAGCAGGCTGGGGGACATGTATCTTTTGGCAGATAGGGTATGACAGTCAATTAACTCTGAAAGTAAATGTGTTAAAGTGTAAAGTGTTTTAGGACAGGTCCAGTCCTCTCAATGCAGAGGCTTAATTATTAAATATACAAGCTACACAAGTCCTGCTTGTTACAGTCTAATTTATTTTTTTAATGTTTTATGATTCTACCAGGTCAAAACTTGAAACCTGAATTGTTTTTGCTTTAAAGCATCAAGTCACGTCTCACTGCAGTAAACCCATAAGTTGTTTTTTTACTTCAAATCCAACTCCAGTCAAAGTCTTAAATTAAGTTCTTGGGTTGGCTGAAGAGAAAAAAAGCCAGACAGGAAGTGGTTTGAACATGTGAGGATGGCTAGTATTTGCAGGGGACAGAAAATACTTATTTAAGCCGGTATTGTTGTACACAGCAAGTGAGTCTACTCAGTTTGTGGCAAAACAAAGCACCAAAGCTCACTTGCAAGCATGGCAATAAACCATCTCCCCTCTACAAACAGGTATCATTATATTTGCAGGACTGTAGACTAATTACAGCCAGTCTGCTCATGATTTTACGATGATACCAAGGTTGCCAAAAGTCCCCCAAATGCTCCCAAGAACTGCCAAATGTTGCACAACAGTTATAGAGAGTAATGCATAGAAAACTAATTCTTGACAAACTTCTGTGCAGAAAATAACATTCTCAATACACTATACTGTTATTATGAGCCACACCTTTTTCAACAAATGATCACTGGTGTTTCCATCCTGTATGTCTTTATTAAGTGATCTCCGAGGCAGAATAGACATTTTTAAGTTAAGAGCACAGAAAGTGCTGTCAGAAAAAAAGAAAAGTAGTGTACATGTTGAACTATAAGGAGGATGTTTATCACAAACACATTTGTTGTCCTTATCTGGTAGAGCCAGACCTTCGCCACGCTGTACTTCAATGAGTCCATCTACTGTGCTTCACATTTCACAAATGCAAAAAAGTTAACACTGTTGGACAAAAACAGGCTTTTCCCTCGCAGCTGTAAATTGATTGTGTCCTGAGATGAAATACCAGACATGGTAAGAGCTGACACAGGTGAATTTTCAAAAAGGTTTTAAAGATGTGTCATCAGCTGGTCACTGCTCTGTGGACTCCGCTCTCCTCTGAATGTGGGAGATCTCCAGTATGGGCATGAGCAGCTGGAAAGCATCCTGGATGTAAGACGCGCTGTTGGACGCCTGTGAGGAAAGATGATTCAACACTTGTCAAAATGTAACACGGAACACAAAATTGTTCTGAAATTACGTTAATTTGGGCTGTAAATGACACAAACGCAGACATTCTGACTGCAAAACATCCTCCTTAACATGCTATTAAGACTCTTTTTCAGGCTTCACAAGCTTTTTTTTCTAATTCTACAAATGACGTGAGATGATTTCACTTGTTCCCAGAACCCCTAAAAGACTTTCACAAAATTAAAATAGCTAGACCCAGCGTGACTTAGATTGCTGTACTTCTATCAATGGCAATCTGCAAAGAAAATTATGAATCAAAATCCAACATGGATGGAAAGAATCGCATTTTCGAAATATTCCTGAGATAATAAAAGGCTACTTTGTTGACGCTGCTGAATAAGAATTAAAGTCAGCACCAATAATGACTCCAATGTGGACTCCAAAAATGCAGATTTGCTTCCTCTGACCATCTGCAAGAATGTCTGTGTTTCCTCTGTTCACCTACAGTAAGTTTTGTGACATCCATCGTACGTAATCAGGAGACAGTGACAATGAAATCTAGAGTTGTGTGTCATTTGCATAGTTACGATAACAGATCTTGTGTTTGCTTATTATAGAATAACTGACCCTCAGTGGATTTCCATACAGCAAGTCAAAACAACAACAGGTGAAACCAGAAAAGCTGTGAAACTACATTAAAAAAAAAAAATAAAATCCACGTTTAGAATTCAGTGTCTAGAACACAAACCTCTAAAAAGACTCCTGTTATCAGAGGGTTGAGGACGTCTCCCTTCTCATTTGACTGTAAAACACAACATTTAGAATAAGTTACAATCAGCTTTCACATGAACATTCAGCAGGGATGATGCAACAAAACCAGTTTGGAAAATGAAAATATAAAATAAAGAAAGTAAGAAAAGTAAAGATTGTTTGATACAACACCTTTCTATAGGGCACAAAGTGCTTCACAGAGAGAAGCTTGTTTGAGAGTTTTTGCTACAGTAAGTTTGACAGATGCAGCAGGAAAAACGTGAGTGGAAACAAACAGTAGCAGGGCCCTATGAATTTTATTTTATTCTGTGTTTTTTGTTTAAATTCTGTGTTTTATGATTTAAGCACATTTTGCCATCAGAAACTGGGTGTATCATGTGGTGGATAAATAAAATTTCAACAATAAGAAAATATAAAAAAATCCCAATCAATATCAATGGATTTGATGTATCATGCAAATATGCATGTATAAATGTTCAAATATATGTGCAATTATTTATGAGGACAAGTCACAATAAATGTATTGTAACAGTAAGCTACTAAAATACTATAATGCTATTTTATAGGGGACAATTCACAGTGAATGCATTGTGAATTGCCTCCAATTAAATCGGTTATTACTTGACTAGTGACGGTTTGTTCCCACGGATCTTCTGCAGGACAGTCTCCATATTCTGCTCCAACACACGGTAAGAAGTGGGTCCGATGGAGGCTACTCTCATGTGGGCAACGCTCTTCTGTGTTTACAAAGCCCGATCCAGATTTTTATAAATTGCATTTTGGCAGATTCAACAATATTCTGTGTTTTAACACTTGATTACATTTTTATTATCAAATGACGGAATTCTGTCTGCGTTTTCCACATCACGGAAATGACAGGGCCCTACAGAAGGTTAGTGAGTTAAAAATGAGAAAACGCTGGAGGTCAGCGAAGATAAGATTAGAAATGTTATGACTTCAGGTGTGTGTCCTCTAAGCACTTGAAGGAAACAGATAAAAAACAGAATTTTCTAAACACCTCGGGACTTAATTACTCTAATGGTTCTAAATAATCATGATGATAAAGAAAAGACTCAATAATCCCATCCTCAACAAATTCAGTAACTTAGTTGGCAGCGGTCTTAAAATAAAGGCCTTGATCTATTTCCCATATTCAGATCTACTTCCACATTAGTGAAATATCCAACTGTAGAACCGAACTCTTTGACACACAGAGCTAAGTTAGAATCACCACACTTACCCCTGCGGTTGTTAAGCAGCAGGTGAACTTCTTGGAAAGCAATGAGATTTCTTTACACAGGACAACAGTTAACCTGAGGACAGACAACATGAGAAACAGACGTCCAGTTAAAGTACAGATGAGACTGTGAATGTCTACTGTGCAGCTCCTGCAGTGTCTCCACACGTGTTCAAACAGATAATCCATGCGGTCTTACTGTGACAGAACGCTGGCCTCTGTTCTGCCGTTGGAGAAGAGGATCATCTCAGCCAGTTTGTGGAAAAGCTCGATGGATCGAGCCGTTAGCTCCGCAAGACTTCTGATGGCTGCAGCATGAATCTCCTGACAAAATTCAATACATACACACTGCTGAATGGACAGAAGAAACTGTGTGGACTAAAACATGGAACGTACAATAAAAGCAACTGTTGGCCAGATAGGAGCATCACACCATATCAGTGAAGTGTGGTGCAAAAACAAATGTCGACTAATCGATTAGTCACTTGACAGAAATGTACTGAAGAACCATTTTGATAACCAATCTGCTTCCACCTTCTCAAAGCGTCAGGATTTCTCACTTTTACATTATTAAATCTTTGGGTTTTGGACTGTTGGTCAGACAAAACAAGCTATTTGAAATAAGCAAGGAGTTCTGACATCAACCTCAAATGACTTCGTCTTTTGTATTGATAAATATTGATGATGGTTAATCAGTTATGGAAAATGAGTATACCTCTACAGAGAGTGTTTTCTTTATTCCTCCTCGCTCTCCTCCTTCTCTGGTGGTTTGGTGATGTCAGTGATTTGGCTGCAGGTGCTCCTACAGGCCTGTTGGAGGTTAGAAAACATGCTTTTAATTAACATAACTAGGTTGCTTAGCTTTATGACCCACCATTTGGCCGCAATAAAAAAAATAACAATACTAATAAACTTTATTTATATAGAGAGCACAGAGAGAAAGCTGAAATAAAATACCACAGTGAATGATAGAATGCATGAGGGGCAAAATAAAAGACAGGAAAACAGGAACTGCACACCAGCTGTACAATAAATACTACCTCTGTGTTCAAATGTAAACATATTTTCATCTAGGCTGTTTTGACCAACCACATTAACAACACTACAAACTGCAGCCTCGCTAATGACTTTCTCAACAAAAACTGAACAGGCGTCCGATCCAAAACACAGAAATGAAAATAAATAAATAAATTTAATTTGACTTGAAATGTGACTTTGGTACCTTGCTGAGTTTTTCAGCTGTTGCAGCGACACTGAGACCCTCCAAGGCCTCCGTTAACTCCCTCTCAAACTCTGTGCCGTCTTCATCTGGAATTAGAAATGTACAATCACTTGGTTCAGGTGTTGCATCAATTCCGGTGTATGAATGATGTTGTATTCCTCTTACGATGCTGGTATTTCTATGACCGTTACGGACATGTTACCTTTCTTCTCGTCCACTTCCTCATCATCAAACTCCACCAGGGAGAAAGAGTCCTTGATGAGATCCAGCTCTTCTCTGAGCTGAACCAGCTCATCTCCTGACAGAGTGGTCAGCACCGACTTCACCTACAGCACACGCACAAAGATTTGAGGCTTTTACCAGATACCACTGAATTATGCAATATAAAATAATGACTCAGTACGTCTATTTGGCCACAGTAGGTGTATTTATATTATATATTTTGGAATGAAACTCCCACCGAACCTTAGACTCGCTATCTCGAGCCAGCATCTCCAGTGCCTCGAGGTGTGACAGACCCTGAAATTCATCAAACAGCATCCCATAGTGGGCGACCACCTTCTTCCCAGATTCTGACCACTCTTTCTCTGCTGTCTGCAGCTCCTCCCGCTCCTTTGCTTCCCTCAACACCTACGAGACAGAAAGGGATGAAAAGTTTAAATGAGACAGGGCTTTAGTCTTATCCTTGTCTGTTTTTTAGCTTACTTTTTTACGTTTACCTTGACTTGAGGTTATTTTTAGTATTTCATTAAATTTGATCACATTTTGTTAATGTCATTTTAGTCTCATTTTGGCTACAAACAGCTATGAAGAGGTAAAACAAGATGTATGACATGAGATTCACGTCTTTTAGAGATGCTGAAGGTCAGTTTAGGCAATTAATATTCCAGTCCCTCATCAAAAATAAATTATGTATAACTTTGATATCTGACGATGGTCTGCGTACCTGAGACAGAGTGGAGTTCCTGTTAATCAGTCCTTTGGTCTTCTTAAAGCCGGGATCGCCTTCTGCTATCACGTCCATCGTCTTCTTCCCGATGAACTCCAGAGCATCCAAACCGCCCGTTATCACTGTTTTCCCCTGTGAAGAGAGGAACATATAAACAGTTTAGTTTCAGTTTAACATCCACAACACCTTCTCTTAGTGAGTGACTTACACCAAATATAACATGTGTGAATTAATGAGTTAGCAAGGGGGTAGAGACTATGTTATACTAACTTTTAGAGGCTCTGTTATTAGTTTGGTTGCTGCATCAAATTGGAAAAAATAGATCCATCAATAATGAAGTTGAGAAAGAAATGGAACATGGATGATGTTTGTTTCCAGATGGCTGGACCCGGTCAACTTGACGGATTCCAAACAACCTGGCATCGTGTCATAAAACCTAATTTAAAAAAAAAAAGTCAACTTTGGAAATACAGCCCGACTTTGTTGGCATTGTGGGAAAGGTTTCTACCCATAAACAAAATGTCATCCTTATGTTTTTTTCCTGGAACACATAAATCACCAAAACTGAACATTTAATCCCACAGAGTCGTGCTCACATTTGCTCTTTGAATGTTTTTCAAAGGTCAATCAAAAGTGAACTTACTTTAAAAAATATAAAATAGTTGAGAGTAACTGAGAGAAAAACACAGAATTGCAATGCTGCCTTTTCTCAAGAGCTCACGTTTTCAGTCTCAGTGCTCCACACACTACTCTAGATCTACTCTACCATGAAAAACGGATGTTTAAGATGTACTTAAAAAATGTGAACTCGTCTTTCCCCCATCCAAAGAGCAGAAACAAAACACACAATATTTCTGCTTACTGTGCTCTGGACGACGCTGGTGAGTGACGACAGCATTCCCATCGCACTGCCCACCACTGCCGATCCATCAGCTGCTGCTTTGTCCGTCTCACTGCTGGCATCAGCTGCAGGAGTAGAAACAAACACAATACATACTGTTATACAATGTTGACAGATGTGTGGAGAAAATGTGTGATTTGTGATAAACTGACTTATATTTATATATGTCTGTGTACAAGAAGGATAGCTCCTTGATGATTAGACCAGTTCACCCAGTGATGTGCCTTATCTATACACAACACACAGTAATTCCTTACCCTGCTCTTTCTGCTCCTCCTGAACTTGTGCAGAGAGTTCGGTCGGACTGGGGATTCCCAAAGATGTCTCTGCCTTCTCTATTACCTGAGTGAGCCCTTGGCCTGGATTGAGAAGACAGACAAGAAGTATGTGTCGTACAGAAGAAGTGTTAACGATAATAGACAGAAAGATAGTGAGTGATTTTGTGTGTGTGTGTAAAATAACTAAAAAGATCACCAAACAGATTATATATATATTATATAAGAAATACAGAAAGATTGGGTTAGGTGGTCTGTACTCACCAACAGTAGACACAGTAGCTGTTGCTGTGGATAAGATGGATTTGCCCCAGCTGCCCCAGTATCCCCAACCACCCTGAGACACAGTGGACTCACTGGATGTCTGAGAGAGAGGACAGAGAGGGTATAGGGAATGGAAGGAATAGGAAGGAAAGAAAAGACAGAGAGAGCAAGGGACAGAGGTTATGAGTAAGAGAAATAGTAAGACAAAATCAATGACTGTTGTAGACAAGAAGAAGTGACCTTTGGTAAGACCCTGGGGCTGGTGGGGAATTCAACTGTTACAAGACAAGGCTTGTAAAAACATTCAGTTAACATCTGAATAGTTATGCCGGGACAAATGTGCAGCATTCAGAGTCCTTTGTGCAGTAATAACCTGTTGATTTGTGGACAGAGGCCTGCAGTGTCTCCCAGGGAACAAAAGATTGAATATGTAGTGAGCAGAGTGAGATACTTTAGACATTATTATGCAAACATTTTTGGTTATGTTTATGTAGTACAGCAGTATTTTTTTTTTTGCTGTATTTTAGGGGGTGTTACTCTCTGAGCTGCCATACCAGATTGTTAACAATAAAGTGAGAATATGTTCAATGATGGCTTTATAAAACTGGTTGATCTTTTCATGAGCATCAGCAGAAGTGTTGTTCTGACCAAGGCCAAGATGAAAATCACAGCCAGGCGCTGCTAGATGGCCTCTGAGAAAATGTTATCCCATGCTTGTCTAATTAAAGGCATAGCCTCTCAAACGAGCATTCCCCAAGAAATTCTCATTATATACCATTATTTGTAGTTTTGTGTAGTATAAACAATAATTATCTCAGTGCCTTTGCCGGCTGCTCCTCTACTTTCAGCATCTCCGCCTCTTCGGCTGCAGGTTTGGCTTCTGGTCTCCTCCTGGCTTTCCTTGTCGGGGCCACATCGGTCGAGATGTCAGGTGCGGTCTGCGGGGAGCTGTCGGGCGTTTCGGCAGGAGAGGCATCCTGAATCTCTGGTGCCACCTCTGGACCCTCTGCCGCTGTTGCTTCACTGTTTGACATCTCGATGCCTCAGCACATTCCTTCAAAGTGAAAATAATAACTATTAGCCAGATAAGTATCCGATTAACCTGCCGAATAACTTGAAGATCAATGTACAAATTTTGAGGGGACAAGGGTTTTTGTAAAAAATGCCTAAAGAAAGAAATAGACACTGTTAAAGCGTCCTTCTTCCACCTTTAGATCCAAACACTGTGATATTTAATGCATTCATTTCAGGAATTACTTTGTAATAAAATGCTTTAATTCACTGTTTTGGTGAAATCAGTTTCCTTCAACCAGTGACAGAATACATTTCCCTAGCTTTTAAAAAAAATGTTTGTTAAAAGGTTTTCAGGAACAGGAATGTATATTATGACATTACATAAACGTTAACTCAGCAAATTACTGTTATTGTTGTATAGTAACAAGTTGCATTGCTATTCAATCTTTAATATTATGTGTTGCTAAAGCCTTTGGTGAGCTAACGTTAACGTCAATGAATTTGACAATACGGCCAGGAGTGTAAATATTTATCTTTAATCACTAAAAGCTGTTTCAATAACGTTAATTATAAACGCATAACTTAACTCGGTCGACATAAAACCCAACTGTTAACTGTTATAACGTTACTTTTACTACAAACTCACCTTTTTCCTACTGTCAACGTCTTGATGCTAACTTAGCAGTTCACGTCACCTCAGTCTGCTGACAGCTTCCTTCCCAAAACCAACCACAACCAGACAGGTTTATCTTCTTTATTTCGGTTTGCACTTCTGTTTCTTAAACGCCTTGTAAACAGTTCAATGTGCGAGGTTTTCTCACTCGTTTTGTCAAAGACAGTTTTAGCCACGTCACATTGTGTTTTCACCACCGACCAGGGTCCAAAACACGGAGGATCCGACAGAGAGCCAAGCTGGGGAAAATAACTTCCGGTTAGTGTTTTCAAAATAAAACACATGTTTTTGGAACATTTGGTAAAACAGAGGTTGGAAGTGCGAATCTGTATCCGGAAAAATAACAAACGTCCTCTACATATGTATTTTAGACACAATTAGACACATCTGAAAAGGTTGGTGTACATTTTAGATATTATTTGACTTTTCCAGGGATGACTCATGATTTTATTTTTTAAAGAAAAAAACGCCGTACTACCGGTTCTCTCTGTCGTTAGGTAACTTGATGACGCAATTAACTTCGTCAAGTGATGCAGACTTCAAAATAAAATTATTTAAACTTCCGGTTCTCAAAATTAAAGTACATTGATATTTAGTTGTCGTTTGTCCTCCAGATCTGTTCTGTTTTGAAAAATCAAGTAATCGTGAATGTATTTATTCAAGAAAATACAAATACAAATGACAGATCACCAAATAGTTTGCGAATGTTTTATACAAATAGAAATATTACATGAAAAAGTAGCCTTATTATCATTATTAAGTATTACATAAATTATATATTTAATTTAATCTATGTTGTTCTTTTCTCCGTCACAGACTGGATTTGCACGGGGAACAAGCCACGCCCATTCGCTCATACCTGAAGCAGGAAGTGAACGTACCCGGACATCATGGCAAGGACTGGTCGTGTTCGCGTTGCTTAAACACGTCAGGGTAAAAGCTGAAAAAAAAGGAGTAAACGGAAATAAATGAACTAAGAAGGATCCTGTTAGTCGGTTATTTGTTGTTTTGGTCGTTGTCAGAGCTACAGGTGAGAATCACTGGCTTAGATTTGAGGTTTTGTTTTTTTAAATGTGTGGGTTTCTCTCTTCCTCTGGTAAAATGTACAATATTGTTATACCAGAGTAGCTAGGTATTCAGTGCTTAAACTATTATATAATTATTTAAATGAAATATTCCTTACTGGACTAGTATTCCTGTCATAACTCTTACACAATTATCTTCACTAGGGCCTACTTCCTTTTTAGTTTATCCTTAAGAGACAACAACGCGTACTTTTAAAAGGTATTGAAAGCTAAAGGAACCGATCAAATCAACATTTTTTCATCTAAAAATCAATGCAGTGAGAGAAATAACTTTAAGACAGTAGGCATGTTTCCATCAAGTCTAATTGTGATGCGAATTTTAAGCGTACTTTTGAAATGTCGCTAAAAAGAAAAAAAACAAAACAAATTGCGAGATATGTGCGTTTCCATCAGCTGGTTTGGAGCGAAAACACCAGGTTACGGCAAGCGTAGTTACGTCAGTAGTTGACGTTACACATGGCTGTAATAAACAAGACGTCTGGGTTCCAAACCAGAAACAAAACCAGTTGCATGAACCTGATGGTCGCTGATCTTAGAAAAATAGAGAGAGGTCCTCAGGGATGTGTTTCAAGCGGGCAAGTTGCAACCAGCCATGTCTCCGCACCTTATTATCCGGTGTTATGCCGAGTTTTGCACGCTTACCGAGAATTGCGTGCACCTCCAAATAATGCTTTTAAACGATATAATATCCTTTGTGGATAACGGATTCGAAGGATATATTTTATAAACGTTTAGAGTCGTTAATATTTTATTACACTCAGAAGTAGCATTGATATTCAGCAAAAATATGTGTCCCGTTTGATCAGTGTGCAGAGCAAAGTATCTGAAAAGGACCTTTAAGAGGTGAATGCATAATTCGACAGAACAGCTGATGAAGGCTACCTGCCCAGATTTGCATCCACCGCTTTTCTCAGGGCAAATGAGCGTTACCAGCCGCGAGGTGCATGAAATTCTCGCAGGTATGCAGAGCTCGGCACAACCGGGCAAGACGCCGACAGCAGAAACAGCTGATCAGATGTGAGTCACAAGTTCGCTACGTCGGAACTTATTAGGAAAAAAAAGTGTTTCCATCTCCAATTTAGCGCATTTACTCTTTTTCGAGAAAGGCAAAAACCACCTCAAGCCAGCGTAAAAAAACTTTTTAGCTAAAATAAGGATTTTTTTTTAGATTCCATCAAGCTTTTCTAATGCCAGACTTCAAAATGCGCATAAAAACGTGGATGGAAACACGGCTAGTGAAAACAGGGGCATTGAAAAGTCAATTTAAAGGATAGGTTATGGAAGTTGAAAATATGCCATGAGGAATAAAGAAAAGCAAAAGCCTGGAGTCCTGCGTTGCTCTGTGAGCCATAACTGTTTCCTTTTCCTGTTTTGCAGGTTTGACTTGTCTAAATGTGAGCTGAAGCCATGGTACCAACTCAGAAACGCCACCTGTCACGCCTGCTTCTCTCAGTCCTGCTGCTCAGTGGCTGGACAGCAGAAGGAGCTCAGAATGGGTCAGAGCAGGCAGCGTCCTCTCTGCATTTGGCCAGCGTCCCCTCCAGTGGGGACATTGTGGTGAAGGAGGGATCCAGTGTGCTTATTGAGTGTAACGTGACTGGAGTCCATGATGACTTCAAGTGGTACAACTCTAAATCACATCTGCTGGATGAGGACGCAGGTGGGAGACGGAAATGCTGCACTGAGAAGAAGTTCTGATTAATTAGTTATTATATTAATGAGTTATTTTTGCCTAAAATAGTTTTACAGAAAGCTTTTATTGTTTAAAAATCAGCTGCCATGCCTTCCCTTAATGTGGATTTTTTCTGAAACGGGTGCATTTGAAACAGTCTGATACTCCACTTGTCAAACAGCCCACTTCTAAACATTGCTGGCAAAAATGTTGCTGTTTCTCAGTGATTTACTCAAAAAATATTGAGGAATAGATTAATTATGTCACAGCTCCGGTTGGTTTTCCCTGGCATTAACCATTATCAGTTAAATGCTGTGTCAGTCCAAGTTTTGCTTTCATGCATGTATCAGTTATCTCTGAAACCACAATGACGAAGCAGCTTCTAATCTAATCTGATATATAAACCCGCTTTTATTTTACCAGGTGGTGTTTTGTGTTCTAATTTGTGGAAGAATTAAAGTTGCATTAAGTAAAATTGAAATTAAATTAGCACTGATTGGGTTTCTTGGCCAGCGTAAATGTTATTGATGCCGCATTACAAACTGCTTGAAGGAGGAGATGTGCTCGTAATAAGATGGACTCTCCCTGTTCCCAATCCTCAACTCATCTCTTTTGGTAAAACTAAAACTGTCTGTCTGTCTGTCTCCAGGTGGGAAGTGGCAGATTCAGCAGAATGGCGTCCTGAACATCACTGCGGTCTCCTTTGAGGACCGCGGCCGCTACACCTGCGTAGCCTCCAGTGGTGCCAGTAAGACCCAAAACTACACCGTCACTGTGCGTGTAGCCCACTGCAGCAGCGGCCTGGGTCTATACTTCGTCATCATCTGCCTGGTGACCTTCACCATCACCATAATCCTCAACGTGGCGCGGCTCTGCATGGTCAACAGCCACCTCAAGAAGACGGAGAAAGCCATCAACGAGTTCTTCCGCACCGAGGGTGCAGAGAAGCTGCAGAAGGCTTTTGAGGTCGCCAAACGCATTCCCATCGTCACGTCAGCCAAGACTCTGGAGCTCGCCAAGGTCACGCAGTTCAAGACCATGGAGTTTGCTCGTCACATGGAGGACTTGGCACGGAGCGTTCCTCTGCCGCCACTCATCCTGAACTGCCGCACGTTCGGGGAGGAGGTCGTGGAGACGGGGAACCCCGGCCTTCACCCTACAGGGCAGGCCGGGACCTCTGTGCCTGGGAACAGACAAGCTATAGGCCCGCCGTCCTCCGACAGAAGTGGAGAGGAGGAGGAGGAGGAGGTGTGTCAGGCGCTGCTGTCAAGCGAAAGAGAAGGGAACAATGGAGGCAACGTTGAGGTCAAAGTTTCAGTCCACACGGTTTACCAGTGAGGATAAGGAGGCTGAGATGTACCTCCATGTGCTTACGCCAGGCTCACGATCAAGTGTGTCCTATGAGAGCAACGAATAGCCTCAGAGGAAACAGTTTTCTGAAGTGTAAAATCATTACAGAATGTTGGAATTAGTTTTCATTTAGATTTTTATGATTCTAGTTCTGCTTGTCGAATCCATTTCTTGTCCTACTGTTTGAGTAAGACAAGAAACCAAAACGGCTTTATTTCAAAGAGGTGAGCAGTCCTGATGGGCAGAGAATTTTGAAAAATTCTTTTTGGGTAAAGGGTAAAATAAAGACAAATATAAATATTCTAGCTTGAAATGTACAAGTTGGAATCAGGCTGTTTTTTCTTGAGATGGGTGTCCTAGCGTCAGATATTATGACTACATCTGTGGCCATTCTGTACCTGCTGAGTGATTTTCTTTTGCACACAGCTATTGTAGCAGCAGATATAACAGCTCATTTCTTTCCTTTAGAAGACACCATTTGCTGCTGTTGACTTTGACAGTCAGCCTTCAAACAACAAAATATCCTCATTTCATTGTTGTCATGTCATGGCTTCCTGCCAATCACCTGCCACTCATGGGAAGTTTAATACTTTGAAATAATCCCTCAAAAATTTCGATTCACAGACATGATTGCTGTGTCCATGTCACTTCATTTTAAGTCTTTGATAGTCAGGACAGCAGTTGATTACCGGTTAGGATTCGCATCACAATGACTATTTCAATAGCAGAAGTAAATGCCTAAATATAGTAAACACTAAGCTTAAACATCCACTTTTACCTTTCAGTAGCAGCAGAGGAACTGAAATATAAATGATTATTTTTACATTACTGCTCCAAAACACGTCTGCTGTGATGGAAAATATAAATATGCAGGTATAATCTATCAGATTTTGGTGTGCATGCCAGGGAAAGTTAGGGACTTTCAACTTTTTATAGTGAAGGTGATGCAGCATTTTCGCTCTGTATTTATAGGGACATTTCTGAGTTACATTTCTAACGCTGCTTAATAATTTGATTATTGAAGTGTGGAAGGTAAAAAGTGACTAATTTGCCTCAAGTCTGTGTGTTTTGTGTAGAGGTTTATGTTTAAATATGAATTCACACAGACTGTCCATGTCCTAGGAGAGATATCTAAAAAGAAAAAGTGTCCACCTCTACGTGGTGTCACAAGGCTTAAAAAAGTAAGATATGAAGGTGTTTTAAATGCTTCTATAGAACCTTTTTGGAGCTTGACAAAAAACACTGTTTTGAGGAGTTTTAGAACCTGTTCAGAGGCCAAAACATGTTGAGAAACCAGGTCAGCAGCTTCTTTATTGTGAGAGATATGAAAGTAAAGCGTGTAAACTGTGAATCAGATGTGGAACTTGATAACTATGGTTAAACAAAAGTTTTGAATAATTGTGATACCATTTTGCACTTAGCTGAATCTTGAATGTGTGAATGAATATGTTGTTGCTGTGTGAAATTGTTTGATAGGTGTTTAAATATTTAAAAGTTTTCCTAAAATAGTCTTTCTCAGGGACCAAAGGCAAATGTTTTTCAGACCACAAGACAAAAAAAAAAAATCCTATAATTGACACTAATCAAATAAATACAATAAATACAAGCCAGTGTTTGTGTGGTGGTTATTTCTGGCCCTTGAGGTAACAGCTAATGAGCCACTGGGTGTAGCTGTTGGGTAAGACATCACTTCTTTATATCAGCTACAACATTGGTGGATTCATCAACTGAAACGCTCCTGAAAGGTTGGTTTGCACATTAACAGCTGTTGATGAACACTTGATATCATTGTTCAAGAAACATGGAGTGATAAACTCTTGGGCAAAGTGTATATATCATCCCAGATTTCACTGTCTTGCTTGGTTGAAGTACTAAATACAGTTTAAAACCTGTAGTTGTACTTGATTGCTGGTTGCTATTTCACAGTAACTTAAGATGAACATCATAACGTGTGGGTAAAGCTAGAAAATGCACCAAAATTGTCTTAACATATACAGTAAAATGTCTAGCAGTGCAGAATTACTCAACATCATTTAAAACCAGTTCACTCAAACCAGTTACTTGAAATCCCTTTATTAAGTTCAGAGACAAAGAAAGAAAAAAAGAGAATATGAAAGTTTAACGAGAAAAAAACCCCTAATAAACTAGAGTAAGTTTAAAGCAACTAAATGAAAAAAACAACATGATCCAGATTGAACTTTATTAAATTTTCCTGTAGTTTTATTTAATTAATGTTATTGTGCTTCGCTCAACTTGATATATTCAATACATTTGGAACCTATGGTAAAGTATTGTAGGTTCAAACAGTCGTTCACCCAGAATGAGTTTGTGATGCGGGACCACCGACAGGATTGATGACCACCAAATCTGAGACTGAGTATTAAAACATCAAATTAAAATTGTGTCCTTGTACTGTTTCTTTTTGGTTATTGTTCTTCTTCATCTGTAACCACAACGTCACTAACATTTCAACATCTGAAAATCTAAAAATTATTTCTATTCCAGAGTCAAAGAAAATCTAACTTTTTTGGCTTTATTCATACGTTTCAAAGTCCTTTACATACAATTCAACCTTAAAATGCATTTAACAAATTATGAGTGTAAAGAGAGGAAACAATCCAAGGAAGGTTAAAATTTTGGTTGAAGATACTCAGCCTTTCGCCTCTCATCCAAGCGGCTTCTTCAGTTCTGACTGACTGAGGAGAATCCCAGCTATTTAACCTCGGTTACAATGATCGATACAGGCCTGATGTTTAAAAAAGTTATTCTCTCCAAAAACATCAAAACAAAATCTCTCAAGTCAGCACTTGTCAGCAACTCTTATTACAAAAGCGAACATGTTTGAACACAAATAAATTTGCATCTGCAGGAACATAAAACCAACACACATTCATGATCTTTGAGTGTAAATGATGCACTTCACCCACAGTACTTTCCCAGAGGTTAATCTCCTGGAATGCAGCTACCAACATCTTGTAGTCTATCTAGTATTATGTTAAAGTCTGCCCTACCTGAGAAATAAGTTGGAGAGCAGCCCAAATACAAATAACCTTGGGCCTCTGTGTTGAATAACTGAAAAAATCCATCCTTCTTCCTTTTCCTGTCCTCTCTGGAGGCCAGCTTATCTAAATAGAATTGATTGGTCCGAGCGATCATTCATCATGCCAAGCCAAAGCAGACGTTTAAGGAGAGAGGGAAGGAAGATTTTACGGATTGGATATTTTCCGCAGGCCCTTGGTGTCATCGAGGTAAACTAAAGAAATTGATCAGGGTAAAAAGGACGGAGACTGTGTGTGTGGGGGGGGGGGGGGGGGGGATTACATGCAAGAAAGACAGCCTTCCACAGACAGACAGGTGTGTGTGTGTCTGATTATACATACTTAGATAAATGAATAACGGTCTGTGCACGCAGTAAATTTGGGCCTCTTGAATTTAAATTGCTCACAAAATCTGATCAGAAGAAAACTGTCTCTAATTGCATCGACGCCTGAATTTAATTACAAATAAATATATTGTTTTAATTATTTGCTTTCAAGATGATGTTAAATTACGTGGAGATTGTTAATTTGTCTATAGAACATAGAATAGATATAAATTCAGGTATGCAAATTAGCGACAACAGGCATAAATGAGAAGCCTGTGCTTGCAAAAGGTTCCTAGGTACATATTGAATATACACAAACGGGCATTGGGGCAATACATGTGCTATCTCGGCTGCAGTCTGAAAGGAAAAGGTGTGATGCAGATTCGTGACCATCGGCGTTAAGGGGTTAATTCCAAATCAGCCTGAAGACACAAGACAAGAAAGAAAAAACACGGACAGTAGATGATGAATTAGATGACACCATGAGAGAAGTGCTCGTCAGATCTGTTCATTAGACGAGAGGACTCGGTGCAGATGCAGCAACCACGATTAGCACTACTTTCTGACTGTGTGTGTGTGTGTGTGCGCGTGCGTGCGCATGCCTACCTGCGTGCGTGGGTGTTTACTTTCATGATTCACTGGCATGATCCCAAACACAGTGTTGTCCTCTTGGCTTTGAGCTTGATTGTAACACTGAAGGACAATCAAACACCCCGAACATTGTTTTCTATGTAAAGACACTGTACTTTACTTTTATTACAGCTGGCTAGAGGAGGCTTGTCCTTCTAAATAGTACTTTGATACTGGCAGAGCACAACTTAATTCTACCCTCACAGACAGATACACTACATGACCAAAAGTATGTGAACACCTCAACAGTACTCCCATATGACTTTAAGGTCTGCCACTGATGTTGGGTGATAAGGTCTGGCTCAGTTCCAGTTCAAAGGTATTGGATGGTGTTGAGATCAGGGCTCTGAAGTCCAGTCAAGTTATTCTACACCAAACTGGGAAAACCATTTCTTTATGGAGCTGCTTTGTCCACAAGGTCACTCTCATATAGAAACAGGGAAGGGCCAAACACAAACAAACACAATTAACACAAAGTTAGAAGAACACGACTGAATAAAATATATATTTGCCTGCCACAGGCCTCTCTTATTTAATTTATACATGCTTCCTCTTGGCCATTTTTGTATAAAACTACGGGGTATCTTACCACAGCTATGCAGATGATACTCAGATTTACTTGAAACAACTATGAATCCCTTGACTCACTTTGTAAGTGCCTTGAACACATCACTAACTGGATGGGACTCTATCCTCCCACATATAAGGAAATGGGAATTTAAAAAAAAAAGTTTTGTACAATCCCACGAAAGTGAGTACACCCCTCACTGAAGAGATGACACTTTGTTACAATGTAAAGTATTGACTGTACAGCTTGTGTAACAGTGTAAATTTGCTGTCCCCTCAACATAACACAAACAGCCATCAATGTCTAAACCGCTGGCAACAAAAGTGAGTATACCCATAAGTGAAAATGTCCAAATTGGGCACATTCAGCACAGCTCAACAGGACAGGTTCCACTCAGAACAGGCCTCGCCATGGTCGACCAAAGAAGTTGAGTGCACATGCCAGAGGTTGTCTTTGGGAAATAAACGTAAGAGTGCTGCCAGCATTGTGGTAGGGGTCGAATGTGTGTGGGGGGGTCAGCCTGTCAGTGCTCAGACCATACGCCGCACACTGCATCAAATTGGTCTACATGGCTGTCGTCCCAGGAGGAAGCCTCTTCTAAAGATGATCGTTAAGGCAGTGCTGGAAAACAATGGTGGCCACACAAAATATCGACACTTTGGGCCCAATTTGGACATTTTCACTTTGGAGTGTACTCACTTGTCGCCAGCGGTTTAGACAATAATGGCTAAAACCTCTAAAATTATTTTGAGGGGACAGCAAGTTTACACTGTTATACCAGCTGTACACTCATACTCAAAATGTGAGGGGTATACTCACTTTTGTGAGATACTGTATGCCACACTAACTGCATGACTGTGTGGCAACGTCGGTCTGTATGTCAAACCAATACTTTAGTCCAAAATGTGGTACAGAGATTCACGGTACCCACATGGCAAATCTTAATGACTTTTCATCTTGTGCCATCATTGTAAAATTTTATTATGTCCAAAGTATATTATTATTCTTGTGAACAACTACCTACAATGACATTTTCATCTGCTAGTTTAGCTGCATACTTTTAGTCTTGTTATTCATTGTCTTTTCAATCTCTTTTATTTTAAGCTGTACTCTGTAGTATTTGCATTCAGTCAAAGCAACCTATTTACAGCAAATGTTGGTTTCAAGCTTATGTCCTCATTTTCAGATAACCTCCAACAAAACTCTGCATCCGGGAGGTTGAACAGCACGTGTGCTAACAAAGGGACGGGGGCACTATGGCTGACCTGATTCTCCGCAGGGTCTCACTGCTACAAACGGCCCTGCTGTCAGGCACTAATGGGAAATAATGGCTGCAGAAACACCACAGGGGCGGGCTGGGCTCGCTGGGGACTGGGGTGAAGGTATTGGGGTCACATCTTCCAATGGCTCCTTGCATCCTCAGACAGATAGATATTGCACAGAGAGAAAACATCTGGAGGGAATGTGTGAGAGTCTTGGCCAAATGAGGTAGTATGGAAAGGTTAAAACTAGGAGGAAGTCAGTAGGGCTGATTTGAAGGAAGTTATAGGTCAGTCTCCATGGGGAGCATTGGACCACATTGTTTTAATGGTAAACATCATCATCATTCTGCAAATCTTTTTTCCTTCCTTCATGAAAAACCTCATGTGGTCAAAGACAGGTGTAAAGAAGAATTCAGTAATGCTTTATTTTGCAGGTCAGTAATTTCCCAATACTTTTTTTTATAGTTTCATGGAAATGTAATTTGGTACTAATTAGGAAAATGACTTGGCGTAAAAGCTTACTTTAAACCAAAGTAATCATTCCTCCATTTATTCTTCATATATGTTTTATTGTGTGTTTGTCTGCTGATAAATTGAGCATTATACAACTGGTTTTCTGTGCACTTTTTACATTACTGAGAGTAGAGAAGGAGGAGTTAAGAAAATAAAACTCTGTGAGACATATGTCAACATCCAGTGAAGATAATACAGTCAATGCTGTAAAATAGCCTTGAAGGAATAATAGTGAATTGATTGATTCAAAAAGACAAATATACTTGTAA